GAGCTATAAGAAGAAATAAATCGCCATTTCTCCAAAATTTTCGTTTTTCTTTTGTAGAAGCGCCCTCGAAGACCCCTATTCTAGCTAAACATCGAATTCCTGATTTATTTAGATTTAAGCTAGTTTAATTATTGCTATGTAAGGCACTTACCACTCATCATAGAGACCCCTAATGCCTTACTCGAATTCTCACATAATACAGATTAGTGAGTGTTACTCTCTACCCTCCAACCTACGTTTCACGTAAACCCTCACAACGCGTTAGCAGTTGAGAGCTCGCATTCACTACACTAAAATCACATGAAATTAATTAAGTCTGCAATTAAAATGCTAGATATTGTAATAATCAAATATTAATAAAGTGTTTGTCAACGCATCACTGATTCCTCAATGAGCAATAATCAACAGCAGCGAGCAACTGTGCGAACAACAACACGACATGCGTAGCAAGTTTGCTGCCCAATCCACAAATGCCGCAACAATAAAATGGTTACGCATGTTTATATATTGGCCACAATGCCACACACACACACACCTTTGCTCTACCCACTCTCCAACACTCTCACCTCCCTGAGTTGTGTCAAATGAAGTGCCGCAAACACTTGGCTGCAGTCGAATTGATCCGCATTAGTTCGTATGAGCACGAGAATGAGTGCTTACATGGAATGCAAATTTGAAAACTTCCACTTGCCACATCGTAGGCGCTCGTGGTGTGGCAAGCAATTTTCCAAATGCATTTCCTGTTAATCAGCAAGTATTTAACGCTTAACGGTAACAATGCAACAAAATAATTACAACGACGCTAATGATTACTTGAAGTGATTAAATGCATTAGCTATTTGTGTGTATGTAAGTGTCTCCACAACAAAGCAACCCTTTGTTGTTGCTGCTTTAGCTCTCTTCTTACCAATGCAATATGACGATGATTGCGAGCGCATATTGACAGCAGCAAAACGGTAAGTCCCCACAAAACGCAAGCGGCACTAGAAAATGCAAAGATGCAAAGCAATGCAGATCAACTTAAGTGCTTTGACGACGACGGCGGCGGTCCAATCTCCGAAATGGCCAGCTCTCACTGGTCGATGGCGCAAGTAGTTGTAGAGTGAAGTAATAAAGCTTGTACATACTTAGAGAGATTATTCGGTTCGGAGCGGTAAGTGCGTGGCGGGAAGAGGGGAAGTGCACACCTATATTGCATTTCATGAGCTGCTGCTTTTGCTACGCCTGGGATTATGCATTTCCGGTCGAATGGGCACATGTTCATTTACATACAGCGAATTACATATATGTATATAATATACATACATACTATATTATTCTACTGTATATTTACTGTTACATATAATGGGTTATTTCTCTCGAGCTGCGGAATGTTAATCTGCAGACATTTAGACAGGGCTCCGAACGCGCTTAGCGACGAGAAAGGTTACTCTGGGGGACTCATTTCGATTGCAACTATCAGCCTATCAGAAGGCTATATTTATTACTAATTATAAGTTATCTTTGATACTCAAAAGTTTGAGAGTGACGAGTCGAACAAACAACTGGTATAACTCACATAGACTGGTATAATCAAGGATAGTTAGTATATCAAACGGTTATTTCACTCAAAAACTTTATTTAAATGCTTTCCTCTATTATTATGTAAATTTTTTGAGATTCTAGTAGACTTCAAGTATAGCATACAAAGAATTAGCAAATTGAAGACTCTCTAATTAATTTAGCTTAAAAAGTTCTACCTAAGTTTTCAACTTTAATTAGAAAGCTTTGGATCAATCGAATTCTTCTAGTCCTTCATGCATACTGATGAAACATTAGAGAGCATATACTTGGCAAAAGTGAAAGAGTAGAACCCTCAAAAGGCCAAACTTTGGCACTTTATGCTGAAAGTAGAGAAAAATTAAGAAAAATTTCTCTTTTTCAGGCTTTATTTAACATAAATTTGAGCGAAAAAGTCTTACAAAAATTGGCGGCTAATGAGAAATTGTCGCAATAACCTATCTCAAAAGAGAGGTGAGTAGAAAATTAATACAGAGATTTATGAAGTGCTAAGGTAGACTTATACTTTTCACCTAATAAATAATTAATTAAATAAATTAAATATAGAATATTTTATAAAGTAATAATTGATATATAAGATATTTTTCAAAATGGTTGCCACCTATAAAAATATTTAATTCAATTATAATTAGTATCAAAAAATAATCGTTTTAGTACCAGAAAATTTTACTGTATACAAATCTAATTGTTAAAAATCTCTAAAATTATATTCTCACTCTCCTTATTGAACTTAGCCACAGCCAGGAGAAACTATTATCCCTAATACGCAGTTGAACGCACACAATTTTCTTTTCAATTTCTCATTTCATAATGCTGTACCGTTATGTAACAACATATGGATATCTAATACTGTGACAATCGAATTTATATAAAAAGTTTCTTCAGCATAACCTCAAATACTTTCAAGCTAAACTTTCGAACTTTAAAAATTTCAAAGTTCAAAAAGAGATGGTTTCGAAAAATTCCCAAATTTAAAATAACCAATTTTGCTAAAACACTAAGAAAATTATTTCTTGAAGCGCACAATGCATAACCCTGTAAGTACAATACCCATACATACAAAACTATATGCAGCAGTTGGTTGCACTGGCGATCTTATCATTAGCTTGGAAAATAAATTTAATTAAAATGAAGCAGCAACAGCAGCAGCTGCAGCGTGTGCATGCAGTTCATCAGCTCAAAGGTACAAGCTACCAATACATTCACACAAACACACATACCCATATACATCCAAAGATAATAAGTAAGCGATGGATGAGAGACTAACACAAACGGCAGCAACGCTGTGGAATGTTGTTAATTAATTACTAATGCATTACTAATGCTCGGCGCCCAAACACACTTTTGCACAGCAAGTTTATCACACATACCATATGCTAAATGAAAATTACAACAACAACCACAATAAGTGATACAATGCAAAAGTGTATAAAATTATTTGTTAAAGCTTTGATGAAGTTTTCTGGTGGACACACGCAACCAAAACTACAATCTAACCACTCAAGCCTCTGGTCAACACCTGCTAACGCTGGATCTCTAAGCTCAAGAACAACCGGTGTAAATGTGCGTTAGTAATATTATATAATATTAAGTGCAGCATTAGATATTTGTGGCAAGCACACACTTACTGGGAGCTTACACCAACCACTATACTTAATATGCAAATAATTTTCGAAACGACTGAGCATTAAAAATTACTACTTAATCCGCAGAGTTGCTTTTCTGAGGGGCTTAAAAGGATTTTTCGGAATAATTTTTTATTTGTTTTTACTTTTATATAAACTTTGTTTTTTTTACTTTACGAAAGGATTGACATTAAAAGCTCGCGCGTAACTGTCACTGACCCTAGTAATCCCTTTGTAAATATGCAAAAAGCGCTTGAGAAGAAAGGGTTTAGATTTGATTATAACCAGCATGTAATTTAAATTCATTTCTTCGGTAACTTTTTCGCTACAAATCCTATAATAAATAAATAAAAGAAGGGACGCTTCAAACGAGTGCGAGAAAAAGTGTAGAAATCGTGCTGCCACCCTTAAGAATTTTAGAAAAAAAAAAAAAGCGAATAAGTGCGTATTTGCCAGCAAAGCCTCGAGCATTATCGGCCACTTGGCTCCGCATTTAAAATGTCACCCGGCATTTGGGGCGACATTAAAAATTTTGTTGTCAAAAAAAAGTACAAAAAAAAGATATAAAGAAAATTTGTATAAATTGAATAAGAAAAGTAAAAAAGCGCACGCTTAACGAACCGGCATTGCTTAATGAGCAAATTGTCAAACGCCACAAATAACCTACCGCCCCAACCCGCAACCGACGGTAACAACCAAACAACCGTTTTTGCTACCCCAAAATTAAAAAGAAACTTCAGTTTTCCCAAGAAATGAAAAAGTGCAGGAATTCTTCCGAAGAAAAAGCTTTGCTAGTTTGTATTTTCTTTTGGTTTTCGGTATGGGCAGTCACTTTGTGGAGCACAAAATAAACAGCTACGGTGATTTAATTTTCTGTTTAGTGATTTTGCTTTGCCTTACCCCCACCTACTACCAATCTCACACCCAATCAATCAGTTGGTTTGTCTTTTTTTTCATTGTATAGCTTGTTCATTTCGTGTCACCCTCCATTTGCTTTGAGAAGATGTAGTAAAAAGAGAAATCTTAACACAGACGAACCAGCAACCTGACCTTGTAGTCTCACAGGATGGAGTAGTAAATGTGTCGGCTACTCGTGATGGATTGATTGATAGCAGACAGACGGTACACGTCAGCTTTGAGACTTGGCAGATCATTTGTTGGTCAGTTTTACAGTGGCTGTGAAAAGTCTGTTCGACTTAAAGGTATTTAAGAGATTTTCATAATCAGCTGGTGCAGGTCTTCGCTAAAGTTCGGGACGTGTCTCCGCTAAACAAAGGGTTTACGTAATTCCGCCATTAGTAAAAGTCGATTACCGGATATTTGTTAGTACAAGTTTCAACTAGAGCTCTTAAATACCTATATCTAAGTTCTGCTCCCATTTTATAATATTTTTGAAAACAGTTCAGCTGAGTTTATCATAAAATATTAACCTATGAGATAAATAGAGTTTTGAAATGATTTTTTGAGTGTAATCCAATATTGGTTCAAGATCACCGGCTGGAAATATCTGGGATGCTAGTACCTGGCTCTATAGATCTAAGTTTTTTCAGAATCGAAATGTCTTCCGAAACTAAATTAGCTATTGTGAGCTAAAATTTGTCTTAGAACTAAGATTCCAAATCACGTGATCTTGAAATAATTTAAGACTCAAATGTTGAGGTAGACTGGTCTGGATATCTATTTTTCCCATAAAGTATGTACATTGAAAATCAAAAATTAAATTTCAAACAAACAAAATTTACTGCTACACACCTCATCCAGCTTTTCTAACCTGTAAAATATTACAACACCTCCCTCTAGTTGCCATCAACTTACCACGTCCACTGCGTCCAACGAAGCGCAAATCATTGAATTTAGCCACTTGATTTTTCATAACGGCCGTACAATTCCGCAACTCCGCTGAAAAGTTCTCATCATTCCCCGCTCGTATTGTTACAATCGTTCCGTCCATTACCTCGCCCAAGGCGAGCACTTTAAAGGCAATTGGTAGCGTTTTGTTCGAGCGCCAATGCGTGGGCAGCGTTGTGCAAACCTGTGGAAATAATGAACAGATTCAATTATATTTCCCCGTTCTGTTTGGTAAATAACTAAATGTTAAGTGTCAATAAATTATTTGGTTCAATAATAACTAATTTAACTGCCAGCAGTTAGGACTGCTCCATGGAAGTGTAATATACAAAAAGGGTCACATAAAATACAATTTTTAGCAGGTTTAAGTTTTGAAATCCAGAAAAAATAAAACCACAAAATTTAAAATCTCTAATCAGCTCCTTTTACGGCGGTAGTTTTAAAATATCTTTCGAATTCTACTAAATCTGTAACTAATTCCACTTGAGCTTTTCTAAAAAGGTTTAAAAATATGAAGTCATCTTCTAATAGCTATATATCCACTGCTGTTGTTCTTTTCGAAAAGTCTGCTCATACTTAAAGTTCGCTCTGCTCTTCATGTGTGAATCTTTACGAAAACTGCCTCTGTTGAAAACTGGTTTCTTTGTCTATTCTTAAAGGTCTCATTTTTCAGGGACTTGTTCCGAGCACTCTTTCCCATATTCATAACAGATTCCTATAAAAACCGATTTCCGAATTAACGCAATAATCTTAATTGTACAGAAAAAGTCGCCGTCTGGTTCTTCAACAACTATACAAGTGGTCACAACTATACACTTTTTTATATTTAGGGACTTATTCTGTCTTCTGAATAGATTTTCATAATACAATATATTGAGAACAGAAAGTCATTGCATTATTTTGCAACATTGACTAGACTATAAGGCTACATTTTTCTGAAGAGACAGCAGTCAACCATATTAGGTTAATATTTCAGAGCAATATTTAATGGCAAAATGATTTCTATGAACCATAATATTCAGGAATCTTCAAAATTACATATCGGTCGAGCTTTCGACCGAGCTGATTTTATGCTCATCTGTTCTCAATAGGATAGTTACTCACAAGTTCTCACTACTAGCGAAAGATTGGTGCCATCAGTATAAAAGCTTTCTTAACCTTTAAATCTAATGCGACAGGTAAGACAATCGTTCCATTCCTTGTCTTGAAAAAAAGGGATCAGAATAAATGGTTGAAGTACGGCATCCACATTCGTTATTTCTTTATCCCGAATAACTTTCGAGTATGCTGAAAAATTAATGGTATAACCTATGGAAATATAAAAAGAATTGATTGTTTTTAATTTCACACTAAGTGTGCAGCTTAAAACTGCGAGTATTTGAGAAATGTTGAACTTCCGTTGTACCTAATAAAGCTTAAAATAACATTTTCGACCATCGAATATTATTTTTATCTTTTTTCTATCGAATAACTTTCATATTATAACAAATATATATTAATATTACAAAAGTTTACCGATGAAGCTTAAGATCTATGAGTGAAAGTTTAAAAGCTACACTTTTCGCTAAAAAGCTTTCATCAATTTTTTTTATACCTTATTAAAAGAAAAAAGTAGTAAACTGTTTAAAAATCACTTTGAAGTAATACATTTTTAAAACTTACCACATGCGGTGAGCCGGTCTTCACCAATTCCCCCGGATGTTCGGCCAGCAGCACATCGACAGTACGCTCGAAGAGATTCTCAGGTGTTAGATATGGGCTCGTATCAATGACTTTCTTATTACTACCGCTCGTATTATTGTTATTTACACTATTGTTATTGTTGTTGTTATTGTTATTCGTGTTGTTATTAGCACTGGTGGCGTTACGTTTCGACGGCGTGGCGCTAGCGGGTGGTGGCTGCTGATGATTCGTGGTGGAACTCACTTCACTTGAGATGTGCATTTTGTCGAATTTTCACACGTCACAATTTATTAGAGGTTTATGAAACACGCACGTTCATGCCAGCGAGCTGCAACTGGGAAAATTTTCAAAATTTACTTTTTTTTATTTTTATTCTATTTTTTTTTTTTGTTTTTTAGAAGTTTTGTGTCTTAAGCGATTGGCACGAATAAACTTTGAACTTCAATTTGGCAAATGAGGCGCATATCCGCACTTCATTTGCATAACCCGGGTGGGGTGTGGGTGTAATACAAAGTAAACGGCGACAAGTCATGTGTTGGGCATGTGTGTGTAAGAGTGTTCGTGTGCTGGTGAACTTTGAAGTGTGTGGCCACAGCTATCAAAGCGTGTGTGGAACCTGTTGAATGGCAAATTTGCAAAACGGAAACGGAAGTGAACTTACGTCAATTTCAAATGCTTAGAAATATGCACACACGCACACACACACATACACATAATTGGTAAGGTAGTAGCACTTTTGGCGCATTTGAAGTTTTTCGCTTTTATTTCTCTCCCCTCTTTCGCCGCCTTATGTGAAAGGGTTGCAAGCCATCACAGCAAATTTACAAAAATCATCAACAATTTCAGTTCAAAGTATTGTCACACATTTGCACACATGCACACACGTATACATATAACGGCACACAGCACTGTTATCCTTTGATCTTCGCGCTTTTTTCCACGCGTCGCGCCGCTCAAATTGTGTGCAACAATTTTTTACCACAAAACGGCACGCACGTAACTTTCAGCTGCACTTCAAACGGCGAAAAAAGTCACAAAATTTACAACAACATTTTCTTTTGTTGCTTTCTGATTTTTTCGGCGCTTGCCACAACATTCTTTTGTTGCGTCCGCATCGTTATGAATCCGTCATTCGATTAAGCAAATCAACTGCTGAACGCCGACACCAAACATACAAACACATACATACATAGCAGCGCATGAAATGAAAAGTGATTGCTGCCAGAAGTTGAAAGCCAAAAATAACAACAACAAATAAAAAAACAAAAACGAAAAAAGAAATCAGCGAAAACTGAAAACTGCCAAACCGTGGTTGATAATGCGTGGCGTTGCCATACACAATCAAACAAAACGCCAAACACTCGCACACATATTTTGCATACATATTTATACACGCTTTGTGTATGTGTGCGGATTTATGCAACATAGTCCCTTACAATCGCACATATGCTGACTGCTCGCAGCTGTTTCCAGTTGTACAAGTAAGTGTTAATATTGAAAAAAATTATATAAATGCTCCTCATATGTACATATATATTTATATACTTATATACGCATGCTATTAATTGCGTGCCCACTCTTTTATGTTACAACAACCTCGCCATTTTACCAGAATATATTACAGTTTTATTTTTATTTTTTTATTTTTTTTTTATTTTCAGCTTTCATTTCTCTTTTTTTTTTTATCTTTCCGTTATTCACTCATTTATTCACTTGTACACGTATTTGCGATTTTTATTTTCACAATTGTCGCACAGTTTGTTACTTGTTTGCCATTTTTGTAACAATTTCCGTTTTATAGTACTTTTTTAATCAATTTGTTGCTGTTTTTTTTCTTGTAATTTTTATTTCCATATCAAGTGGCTGCGGTGGACCGAATCTCCGTAAATGTTGACGCATACAAATGTACCGCAAGAGAGTGTCGCTTGTGCTTAGTAATATGGCTTTGCATGATTTTGTTGTTGTGTTATTTTTCCGAATTAAAAAAAGTATCTCTTTCCATATATCAAAAATAATTTTTATCCAATAAAACTCTATTTATTCGCATTTCCTAGTACTATAAATGCCATATCTACTTTAATAACCCGCTTATGTTGAAATAAATATTACCGATTTTTCAATTACATATTTTTGAGACCAAATCAATCAACCTAATACACATTCCATATATAATGTACCTAAACCTTCTATAATAAATGCAATTACTACCATGTCTTCTTATTAGAAATGCTTTATAAATAACCACAAATATGCAAAGCTAATTAAATTAAAGATTGAGAAAATATTATATGTTACCTTACATACTAATCTAATGCATTTACAATTATAGATTTTCTTATTAGAAGATTATCGCATATTGCTCTACGACCCGTCAAAAGTACTTATATATTACTCATACGCGCCGGTGCACATTGCTGTACAACGGAGCAATAAGGGAATATATACATAAAATAATGCAAAACACAAAATACAACAACGGAAAAATATTCTTCGAAAATTTAAAACTGATTCGCAAACAGTTCTGGAGATATAAACGTATTTGTAAGAATCGTTTAACTTTATGTAATTGACTCTTACAACTTTAAAAGCGATGCTCTGGAAAAGCTGTTTTCACAGTCGGTAAGGAAAACTAGAAAACAGCTAGTTCGATCGACTTGAAATTTACACACGAACTTCTTTCATATATTTTTAAGTAATGATAGAAAGAAAAAAAATGATTTTTAAGCTACTCTGAACACAATTTTTTTTTTTTTTTTGATATGCCGCTATTTTATCAAAAACCAAAATTTCTGCTAGACCTTCGATCATTAACTATAGCCATAGTAAAATTTTTTGGTGTTAGGATTTGAGATAATTTTCAGCAGAAAAATTTCACTCACCGCCAGATACTTTTTGTCGGAGGTCCACCTGGAGATCAGCGACGTGACCAGTCCAAAGTTTTTCAAAATGAATCACCGATTATTAAACTACATTAACGTTAGTAAAACAGAAAAAAAAATTTTTATTTACTAAACAAAATTCCTCATCGAAAAAAATTCACGAATAAACGCACATTTTCTGACTTGCAACTTTTCTTTACCATAAAGACCATAATTGACTCAAACTTCTAAAAAACTGCAAAGATTTTAAAATTTTCGAGACAATTCTATCTGTTTAGACCAAAAAAAGGTATTTCCGGACAATATCTCAAGAAGTTTGACATTCTTACATTCCCTGCTCTCACATTGATTGTATTTTCAATTCAGATCTTTGGAAGGTAACTAGAACTCAGATGGTCTTGCAACATCGCCAGCTCGCGCAAAACAATAAAAAATGTGAATTTTACAATTAACTGTTACCAGCTATCAGTGGATTGTTTCATAGTAGTAATCCATTGCAACCGCTCATAACAGTTTAAGTAAGAATATTTTTTAACCATCAAAAAATAAGTTCAGATAAGATATATGAGATATATGTATGTAAATATATGAGGTTTGAATATACATTAACATTTAGATCAGTGCAAGATGATTTTATTGAGACTTCATCAACTCACTATCATCTTGAGTAGTATACACTAAGGCGCAAATATAAAGTTTCATCTAAAGTTGCATAAGAGTTCTGAATTTTATGTCAACTTGCCACTCACTTTTATGAATGAAATATTTAGATATAGAAACATGTCGAATATTTTAATGTCCTTTTGCAAAAAATATGCGCCACTTTACGGTACCTTTCACATTTGTACGAATTAAAATGAACTGCGAAACTGCTGATGATGACAATAATAATCGCAGAGCCCCACCACTGGCACCGCACTTCATCAGCAGCTCACATGAGCACCAATTTCACCATTTGTCCATACAAAGTGCAGCATCTGGACAATAAACGACAAACTGACGAGCGCGTTAACACTGTTAACCATCTGCTCTTGTCTGATTTTCTGATTGTCTGCGTGAAAGGACATCCCGGACATGTGAAGCGAGCCCCACGTCGCGCCTACCGTGTGAACGATGATGATATCGTGGAATTGCCAGCTAATATGTGGTGCGGCCGCCGCCTGGTTGACCGGCGATATCCGCGCATATTATTCTGAGGCATTTAAACTTTTTCGCAATTTTCGCAATTTTTTTTTTTAGTATTTTTTGCAATTTTTTTATTTTTATTCAGATTTTTTATATTCTATGGAATGACTCCTTACCATCTGCGGCTTTTGTTTAACTCTTTTTAAAGGAAAATACAGCAACAACACTGCCGCGACCAATAAAATTAGCAGCAAATGTTGCCACATGCGCATACATACCATACGCACATACACGATGGTGCAAAGTAATTCAAATGCCACGCATTGAAAACAAAACTTGTGCAAAACAAAAAATTACACAAAAAAAAATAAAATAAAACTGAAAATTTGCTTGCAAAATAAAATGAACAAAAAGTTGAGTTGTTGGCCATAATGCGTGTTGCCACACCGGTCGCGAACGCGGTCAGCAGCTGCACAAATACGGTCACACACAGCACTTGGTGATATAGATAGCGCAGAGACTGCCGATCGGCTGCTAAGGAGGCTCCCCCCAGCAGAGATCATTTAATATTGTGCCGTAAACTTTATTGCAAATGTATTACATAAGTGAAGAGTTTGAGTGTGTGTTTGATAAATTAACAGTTGCGGCAAATGGTTTACCGACAATAGAAAAAATACGCCGCTACAATTACATATGAGTATGTTCATAAGTAAATAACGGTCAACTCAAAATGTTGATAAAATAAAATTGCGTAATCTGAGGCGAAAAGAGAGTTGATAGTAGAGTGAGACTCATTTTATTATTGTGAATGGAATATTAAACGTTTCAGTTATTTACAATCATTTGCAGACATATTCCTAAGTATTCTTTACATAAAAAGATATAAGGTGAGCCAAAAATCTATTTACATTTCATTTGAAAATTATTCGTGCAATCACGATGATTTGAAACTAAGAGTTTACAAGTTCAGTTCTTTAGCTCTTACTGTAAAGCATAACATAACTTGCATTCTCAAAACGCTTAAAATATCGATCTTAAAAATGGAGTGTAAATAAAATCAGTTGCTTATACTGATAAACAACCTTGTTTTTCTACCCGAAAGCTTAATACAGCATCGAAAGTTCAACAAAACAGCTTTAAACCTCATTCTTACGTAAAAAATTAAAAATATATGTGGCAAGGACTCAGTTTCTTAATGAAATGTTAGAAAAGTTTACCTACGTTAGTACTTTGAATTCCTTAGAAGTGACTTTAATTGCCAGCTGTTGACACTAACAACAAATTGACATGTCTAAAGACTCAGTATTCACCCAAAAACACTTTATTGGCT